CTGACACGAATTTAAAAGAGTTCCATAAAGGTGGCAAGTTTAGTACATGTTTGCCATTAGAGCTGTTAATGGGTGTATTTGAGGATTTTAATAAGGTATTAGTAAATGTCAAACAAGAATTGGTGTTGAAAAGATCCAAAAATGATTTGAATTGTATATTAACAACCACTAGTGCTCCAGCCAGTGGTACTGCTGATATGATTCCTAAAATTACACTTAACTCAATTCAATGGGTGATGCCACATGTGATACCATCAGATGGGGAGAAGTTACAATTACAAAAGATGTTATTGCAAAATAAAAATTTACAAATTGCATTTAGAAGTTTAGAGCTGCATGAACTTCCATCATATCCCAATACTACAAGACATACATGGTCAGTAAAGACATCTTCAAGTTTGGAGAAGCCTAGGTATATTATATTTGGTTTCCAAACAGCTAGGGATAATAGTGCACGAAAAAGAACTGATGAATTTGATCACTGTAAATTAAAAAATCTCAAAGTATTTCTAAACTCTGAATATTATCCTTATAGTGATTTAAATCTCGACTTTGAAAATGGAGATGTCTCTAAAGCTTATGAGATGTTTATGAGGTTTAGAGAGACTTACTATAATACTATCCCAGATCCTATGATTAGTAGGGCTGAGTTTATGAAGAAATATCCACTAATTGTAATAGACTGTTCTAGACAGAACGAAACAGTGAAGGAAGGAATTGTTGATATTAAATTAGAGATTGAAACTGCAGAAAATGTGCCAGCAAATACATCTGCATATTGTTTGATAATACATGATAAAGTGTTTGAGTACAATCCTTTGTCAAATGAGATAAATAAAATGTAAATAAAAGATGAAAAACATTCAACAAGAATTGGTTGACTCTGCAAATCAAATACGAGAGAAATATAGAGCTTTAAAACGTGGCAAGTTTCTAGAGGCTGAAGAGAGGTTCCAAACATTCCAACCTTTAATAGAGCCATTACAAGAATTAAAAAAAATCGCCAAAACAGAGAGGCCTCGAATGGAGATTCTCCCAATGACTCCATCTAGAATACCAGTGATACCAAGATTACAACCATTACAACAATCTACTCCACAGAAATTAGATTTTGGTCTTTTAGCATCAGACTATTTAGGAAATTACCTCAGTAAAAGTAGTATGACAGACACTACATATGGTATTAGACGAGAAGCAAATAAATTTTTTATTGGAAATAAGGAAGTTGATATTGCCAATGATGATGTTACAATTGCAAATAAAACCTACAAGGGGACAAAAGGTTTGTGGCAATTGCTAACTTTAAAAGAACCTGAGGATTATACTCCGGCTGATTTGCAAAATTATAAAGAAATTTTGGAAGCTACAAATGGACATTTAAAGAGTTACAAAGATGGTGCACCAATTTCAAGTAATAGACATACTAAATATCTTAATATAATTAAACCTCTTTTTAAATCTGTTGGTGAAGGTTTGAGACAAGTGACTGGTAATAAAATAGACTATATTTATTGGGATGATCCTAATGAGCTTGTAGATAGGTTAAGACTTCTTTGGCTAAGTCGCCAAGCCGGTAACTCAGGAGTGGATAATGAAATAGATTCCATTATTGAGGAATTGAGAGAAAGTGGAATTATTTATTAAATAAAAATATGTTTATAGATAAATTTTATCGTTTATATAATCCATATAATAAGCCTGCAGAACCCAGGGCTAGTAGTGAACCTACTTTCAATTTAAAAGACGATAGTTGGAATTGTTTAAACCGTAAAATTGGTAATGTTAAAGATGGAGAGTTTGTAGATGATGTATCAACTTTGGGACAGACATTAACTAGAAAAGGTGATGTCTTCTTACAAGGTAAAACTAAATATGAGTTTTTAGAATCTAAGAATAAAAATTGGAATGCTAAAAAACAGAAAATTACTAATGTGGAAAAGGGTGAAAGTTTAGATGATGTACCCACTTTACAACAGACTTTAATACGAACAGATGGTAAATTTGTACAAGACAATAATAATTATGAATTTTTAGAATCAGAGAATGGTGTCTGGAATGCTAAGAAACGGAAAATTACTAATGTAGAAAAGGGTCAAAGTTTAAATGATGTGCCCACTTTACAACAGACTTTAATACGAAAAGAAGATGGTAAATTTATACAAGATGATAATAATTATGAATTTTTAGAATCAGAGAATGGTGTTTGGAATGCTAAGAAACAGAAAATTAGTAATTTGATGGAAGGTACAGATAGTAAAGATGCTGTGAATGTTTCACAAGTTCCAAAAATGGAAGCAGGCTATTGGAATTTTAATAATAAAAGGTTAGTACGTGTTAAACCTGCCATTGATGACACTGACTGTGTTATAAAAGAACAGACTATAACTTATAATAAAAAACTATATTGTTTTGATGCCAGAAATCTATTTATAAGAAATCTACCAGAAGGGGAACATTCGGATGACATTTGTCTAATGTCACAAGCTATGCGTTATGATGGATCGAAATTTGTGTGTGGAGAAAAAAATTTTAATTTGATGGAATATAATCCTGATTTATTAGTTGCTGACCCCACATCTTTGAGTGGATTTAAGTATATAGATAATAGACCATATATACCAGAAAACTATGTATTTAAAAGAATGGAAGATAATTTATTGATTGGGGCTAATGGTGATGTATTTAGAGTTACAGGAAAGGATGATGTTATAAAAAATGAATGAAATTGCATACGAACTTCATAAGCCTGCAAGAAAGAATTTCATTAGAAGGTCTTTTAAAGTATTGGGTATAAACGAAACCATACAAATAGATTTAATTGATATGCAAAACTATGCTAGAGAAAATTCTGGCAATAAATATATTTTAACTTTAATAGATACATTTTCTAAAAAAGCTTATGCTGCTCCACTAAAGAATAAGACAGGGTTAGTGGTTACAGAAGCCATTAAAACCATTCTACCAAAGGGGGTTAAAAACATTCAATCTGACAATGGAAAAGAATTTTTTAATCAATATTTTAGCAAACTAATGAAAAAATTAAATATTAATCACTATCACACTTTTTCTACAACTAAGGCTGCAATTGTGGAGAGGTTTCAGAGAACCTTAAAGAATTGGTTATATAGGGAATTCAGTGCTCAGGGGAGTTATAAATGGTTGGATTTACTTCCAAAGTTAATTCGAAAATATAATAATAAGGTGCATAGATCTATAGGAATGAAGCCTAACCAAGTGAATGTTAAGAATAGTAAATATGTGCATGAGAGGTTGACTTCTAAAATAGTACAAGTTAAAAAGCCAAGATATAAGGTAGGTGATAGCGTAAGGATTTCCAAGTATAAACATGTTTTTAGTAAAGGTTATACTCCAAATTGGACAGGGGAACTATTTACAATAGCAGAAGTTAAGAATACAAAGCCCGTGACTTATATCTTGAAAGATGAAAATGGCAATATAATCAGGGGAGGCTTCTATACAGAGGAGTTGTTAAAGACCAAGTATAAGGACATGTATTTGGTAGAGAAGGTAATTAGGAGAAAGGGTAATTCATTGTATGTCAAATGGCTTGGGTTCCCAAGTAGCCAGAACTCATGGATTTCCACTAAGGATGTCCAAGAGAGCACGTCATAAGCTGGGAGCATGCCCGAGTTCACGCACAAACCTCGCATATACTTGTGAATGGATGTGGATTTGAAATTTTAATGGAGTTTAAACATTTGTATAGGCTTGTATTGGACGAGATCTAAATATAGCCGGTCTTTAAAAAGTGGCCAAAAAAAGCTCACCATTTCCAGACGTAATTTTTAGTATTAAAAAAGTAGAAAATTTATATAGGGGTGTATAGGTCGAGAGCTGGGTCCTTAAAAAAAGTGGCCAAAAAAAGCTCTTCCATTTTTTCCTCATTTTTCCCCTATAAAAAGTGCCCTAAAAGTGCCTCTAAAACGCCGAAAGTGGGGTCATATTGCTATATTATATCTACTGTCGGCGTTCCAACGTTTACCCAACGTAACTGTGCAAGGAAAGAAAAAGAATATTTGATTATACCCATTGGAGGACAAGGGCAACACTTCCATTACATACACACACGTCAAAACTGAAATTCTATACACGCATTTGGTTTACTTCTTAGCCAGTTACCTCTGCAATTCATTGTTACTATATTAAAACAAGGATAACGTTATTGAGATTTTTTTACCAAAAACCAAACCAAAGGCTTTTGTGTCAACTGTCAATATTGGCTTCGACAACTGGGAAATGGGACCCTAAAACCATCAAATATTACTCAATGTGGCTATTAGAACTGTTTTTTTTTTTGTATAGCACTTATTTACTCACTAAAGTTTCATCACGGATGGTCGTTTAGTAACGCATAAAGGACAATATTAGATTTCATATATATAGATAACAACAACCAAAGCAATTTTACATTTGAGCTTTTTAGGGACTTATGTCCCTAATACTAGTCTATATATTTAATTCCGTAAGCGAATCAGTCCCATGAAATATCTTGAGCTAGGAAAAAGGTTGATGAGGATTATATACTCAACAATAATAATAAATAGTGCACAATAAAAAATTAAGATTAGTCTTTATGGCGTCAAGGGAATTGGTGGCTACACTTTACTTTAGGTCCTACACTCATTCAAATGAAAATATCTCTATCGATATATCAATTGTTCTATATATCGTTTGGTTAGCTAGGTAAGGTTAACCTAACCTAACTAACCAAACGATATATCGAATGAAAATATCGAATAATCGATATTTTCATTCGGTTGTTTGTGTAGGACCTAAAGTAAAGTGCAGCCGAATTGGTTAAAAGCAGGAGTACATCATACACGATATCAGGCTTGTTTCTTTATTCGCTGGCTAATAGCTTATGCACTATCCTTGTATAATCGAGCCTTTAGACGTTTGGTGGAACGATTTTAAAACACATAAACTACAATCAACTACTACTAATTAAGGAACAAGTCTGTACACAAAGTAATACTCACGGTAAGTCTGACACAGCTGCCAGAGTCCGGAGACGGTCCTCTTGGGCAGATAGTCCCGGTCCCCGGTGCCGTTGTACTCTGGGTTGAGCATGAACTCCTCCGTGACCAGCCAGCAACTGGAGGCGACGGCGACGGACACCATGAGCAGCGTGACCACGGCCACTACAGGAGTCACTAGGTGTAGCACGGTCAGTCCTACAGAGCTCATCACATGACCTCACATCCAACCGAGAACCGCAGCGGAATTTTAGAAATATTTTCGCTCAGTTATTTTTAGTTTGCTTCAATTAAAGTTTACGGGATGGTAAGTTGTTGCAGTTCTTACTCCTCGATGACTCATGAATGTACTATGCTGATCACAACGCATTACAACCGTAAGGAACCAATTACCATGGTAGAAATTGAATTGAAAATCTTTTAGTTCAGTATTTGGTTTGTACGAATTTAAGGGATAGATCCATTTCAGTTCCTACTTCTCACTGATTTGTCACTCCTGGCATTTCATTGGTGGTTTAACCTACATCTGGTTTCTAAAGGATAAAGAATAGGTTATGACTGGAGTGTATTTTCGATGTCAAGAACTACAAAGTGAAATCATCAATATACGTAATTCATTTAATTTGATATCACGGACGATTACTTAAGATTAAACTTCAGAAATGACAAATTAAATGTTAACAAAATCTATTTCCTTTATTTCTTTCATGGAACAACAACATACTAACCTATTATCTTAAAAAATAAACAATTGAAACATATGACTTTTTATTTGCATTAACCAGTAAACAGTCTTTTGGCAAACTAAAATGAAATATCTATTGAGTGTTGTTTATAAATGATTATTCGTTCGTCAAAAAGAACATTCAGAAATTGAACAGGATAAAATATTTTCGCTCACCTTATTGCACGTACATTTAAATTTCAACATTTTTTAAGTATTTAGTGTTCACTAGTATAAGGTTTGGCTCTCTGTTTAACCGTACGGATTTTTTTCAAAGTCTATGCTGGGAAGAGTCTTAATAATTTTTAAGTTTAATTTAAATGTGTTTGCCTCACCTACAATTTTTTTGTAATAAAGAACACTAGTAGGCCACTCTATTATACTTAAAAGTATGCATGTTCAATTTAATGTGTCCATTAACCTGTAAAACGTTGGCAAATGTCTTATTTGAAAGTATCCACTTGGTCCTGATCAAAAGTAAGTACCGGGGGTCCACAAATAGTTTACCGGTTTTTCAACAATCGTGCCTTTGATGTTGGGAAACCGCAAAGAAATGGTCAACCTAAGGTAAAACTTCTGTCTACTCAAGCAACGGTTCGTTTGACATTACCTATTGCATGTTTGAGTCCACTTTGGATAAAAGTTAGCTTTAAGGTAACCGTTAATTGCTACTTTGTTGAGTCCAAAGTTGTTCAAGTTGTTTCACCATTCTGTGATTTTTTTATTAGTAAGCTTTAGTGTGTTGAAAGGTATTTGTAGCTTTGTTGGTCTAAAGTTTTTGAAGTTTATCCGCCAACTTTGATTTAGTCGAAACGTTTGGAATTTGAAATTGAAGACACGAGAGTGTTCACTAGGTTTAAAATAAAACAAAATGTAGATTTTGGGACATACAAATTCAACTTAATTATATTTCAAAATAGATGCAACTGTGGTCAATTTTGTAAATGACGTAAAATTGTTCTATAATTTTACTGACTTTACTGGTGCAACACTAATCCACAATAACCAGAAAATTGCTCCGTAACGACGCATTTGAACCGTTTAAATTCACGCTTAACATTTACTAAAAATTTACAATTTAGAATATTTATGATTTTTATACTTTAAAAAAATACGTGTATAAAAATGTAGGCTAATAAAAATAACTGTTAAATACCAAAAACTGTAGGTTTATAAATCTAACTGTAAGACGCGCCACTTTCACGGTCACAGACTGGAACACCTGAAACAGAGAATGAAACATTTACAACTCGGGTTTGCAATACGCTACAACAACCTGCTCAAACAAAAACTGAAAAGTTTGTACGTAAAATGTTAGAGTTGTCTTAATACACCTAATTGTGCTTCTGGAATGAAATTTTGTTCAAGAAACTTTTGTTATTTGAGAGTATTTCAAGATCTCTCAGTTTAGGTCCGATAGTGAATGTAGAGAAAATTAACAAAATCTTTCAACTATTAAACTAAAATGGTATATTACAACTTTACTACTAATTTTTGAACTTTTCTTCATTTTTCACCAACTATTGTAAATATTATCATTGGGGAAAAACATTATCAACTTCTCAGATGTCATATGTAATGGTTTTATTAAGAACAAACCTAAAGTAGTTCAGTAATAATATTGTGATAGACTAACAATGTAATGTAAACCTACTGTCATGTTGGCTATTCCGAACTAAAAAAGTGAATTTACTAACACAAACGTCTGGCGATAGTTTATTAGTGACGACACGGTTGACGTCGAAAAACACCATGAACTCTTATGACACCGGCAGCGAAAGCCTGCGTAAGAAGATTTGTTATTGAGTCTTTTACCCAGTTAAAGCCACTAGTGTCTTTTGCGAATCGTAATAGGCTATACAAGTTGGCCTAAATGTGATTCAACAAAGTAAAGTATATACAATCCCCGACCCAAATCCAAATCACAAAAGTAATTTAAATACAAATTGCAAATTTAAGATGAGAAGATAAAGTTCGATTTGATAGGCATAATAATATAGAATAATGTTATGATTCTATCAATGTATAGATAATTGAGTAAATTGAGGTATAAGATTGAAATTTTAGGTACGTTATCAAGCATGTTGTTACATATTATTATACTGCTTGTGCTAGTGATGCCAACTTTGTTCATTTACTCGTTACAAACAAAGAATGTTGAAGGCAAATGTATCACGAGCTGAGTAACGGGAGTAAGATGGATGGGGAGGGAGATGGGAGTTATAATAAAACATTTAACCTCTGAAAGCACTGGAACAAACCAACGAATAAAACTACTTTATCAGCCAGAGCTATATGTTGTTCGGACTGACAAGTTTTGTACATGTGTATTTTTATCAATACGATAAAACTATCGCAACGGAAATACAGAGGAAATTATTCTTCATACAGGTGAAACATTCAAAAGTATGTCGAAATATTGTGAGTATAATTTTTTTTATCATAGATCGTTCTCGATGTTTGATAATCTAATACAATTGTGATAGGTACTTGAAACTCAATAATAAGTTAACTGTACATTTGGATATAGTATTATTTATTAAAAACTTGTGTTGTATAAATCGCGCCTAATGACTGCTTCTAGGGTTTTGCATAAAACATAATGCAGTTATTTTTGGTAATATTAAGGTAAAACTGAAATGAAATTCAAATAACATGTCATAGACCTAACAGTAATTAAAAACTACCGTATGTATTAATTAATTACTCTACTACAACTACTATAAATTCCATACCAAACAAAAACCTGAACTGTTGAAAATGGCAGTTTTAACTTCAGACAATGAAGGAAAGGAGGTCAAAATCAGAAATAAAATGACAAATCGCACAATAATAAAATGAGATTTGTATTTGTAACATTTGAATCTATTTTAAGTGTTTAATTCTGTCAAAAGAGATTAAACAAAAGAAGTAAAAATCCCTTTAAATTGTATAAACTAACTATTAAAATCTAGGATATATTAAATTACAAACTAAAAATTAATATGTTAGAAAATCCGTTCAATCAAATTACATTTTTAACCGTAAACAAAATCTAGATTTTTATTGAATCCTAAATTCTAATCGATGTAAGGTCTGAACACATACATAAACATATCAAATGTGTATTTCGCAGTATTACGATCAATTAAAGAATAGTACTGTTTAACACTCCTTGCAACCTATTATTGGATTAACTAGTTAGACTATGACCTAATTAGCAATTAACCTCAATGGCAAATCATGTCGCTGGAAAACTAAACTTGCAATAACTAAACTAAATTCACTATAGCAATGTAAATCCATTACATAATGTTATAGCTCTAAAACTTTAACATATATTAGTCTTGCACAGTAAAGTAAATTCATTCAATAATATCATTGATTTGTTTATAAACTAAATTAACTAGATACCCTTATTTTAAGCTTAAATCTCTAGTCTTCATAATTATTTAACACGTATTTTGCTTTGCATGCTAATTAATTACAATCATCATGGTTTCAGATTATTCAAACACAATAACAGATAGCTTAAGTTAGTTATTTGAAGGTTTAAACAACATTTTGCAATCTGAGCAAACATTTGGTTTTATAAGTAGATCAATGAAATTGAAATACATTGTGAACCCTTGCTATCACAATAAGATATATTTATAAACAATTTAAGTAAATTATAATTTTATTTCTTATCATACCTTGAATATGAAAAATCCATGAGTAAATTTAAATTTACCACATAATATTCACGAACATAAACGTAATACCACAACCGTACAATCTATAATGATGATACAACGACAAAATGTTACATTCGGTAACAATGACGGTACGATCAGTGCGACCAACCGAGCAAGACTAAAATCAAAGATAAAGATACTGGGAGCCTGCGTTGCCGTGGAAACAGGGGCGGCAACGTCACGGAATAAAATTACCTCGTAAACCAGTGACGGCAACCCCACGGAATGAAATAACCCGATGATTCCCTCAATGATTCGATAACTCATCCCGGCAGATTGAGTGTTTACAGAAAACAAAATGGAAAAGTAAACATCGGTGGTTTGTATTTGTCAATGTTTTAATAAACTTTGTAAATAGTTTATTTTTTTTATTTTTGAATGAGTAAAATGCTCTGGTTATTTTAAACCAAGAGGATACTTCAATAATTTGAAATTTAAATTTAATTTACTGCTAAAATGGTTTAGATTTAGATGTCTTTATTATTTTAAATATTTTTGAATTAGTAATTGCTTGGGTTATTTTAAACCAAAAAGATGATAAAATAGTTTGAAATTTAAATTGAATCTACTGCTAATATGGTTAATATGTAGTGTATAACTAAACCAAAAGTCTTCATCAATTAAATTCTTTGTGTTATTAATATTCCGTATTTTGTATTCTAATGATGGATTATAAATTTTTTAACATGTACTTTTTATGTTTTGGTATTTTATTAGAAATAGGCACCTAATGTAATTTAATTTATCTGGTAACTTATTTATATTAATTTGAGCGGACAGAGCATTTTTCTTTC